CTCTCTCTCTCTCTCTCTGCCCGGTTTGGCCCTGACTGGCAAGGACGAAGTGCGTCTCCTTACCATCAAAATTGTGTTGATTGAGGCGTAAAACTGTTACTAAAAACACACATTTAAATGATAGTAAGAGCAAACAGTCGTTTCCACATTTCATTTCCCACCCGTCTGGAACCCCTCTGCTACCTTACCCGACTTCCTGACGTGCCATCTTTCTGAGCTGGGGTTCAAAGGCTGCAGTGTGGGTGGTTGGCGGGTGCTATGGTGTGGTTTGCTTCTTGTTTCCTATCAATCATCTATCGTCTTTATCTTCCCTTCTTCTTTTTTGTGTTTGTGACTCTCTTGTAACGCCTCTAATCTTCGGCACTTATATTACCTTATTGTTTTGCAAGTGCCGTAAAACACTTACTAAAACTATCTACGGCTGCTGTGTGGTGGTTGTGGTTTGGCGGGTGTTCTTGGTGTGCTATGCTTTCTTATCAAACATCTGTCGGACTTGCAATCTCCCCTCTTTACTTTCTTTGCATGCTACTCTCTATTAACACCCCTAATTTTGGCACTTATAATATGACCTATTTGTTGCAAGTGCCTTGGGTGGTTGGAGGGCGCCACTGGTAGGTCCTACTTCTTTACGTTCTCCCTGTTGTTTCTCTCTACCTGCCTTACTTTTCCCCAGCACTAAGTGGCCGTTGTTGTGTCAATGTGCTTCTCTTTGTTTACCCGGACAAACAGACTATCATGATCTCCCATCCTTTTCTTTGTATGCTGCTCTTTACTAACACCCCTCTTGTCTTCGGTACTAATAATATGACCTATTTGTATTTCGAGTACCGTGAACCTCTTCCTGAAGTGGCGGGCTCGGGGATTCGAGCCTCGGCTGGGTCATACATTGTGTCCTTGGGAAAAGCACTTCACATAAATACTTATTTGGTATGTGGTTGGCGGGTGCTCTGGTGTGGTTTGCTCCTTCTTCCGCATCTAACGTCTATCGTCCTGATCTCTCCTTTTTTAAATGTTTGTTACCCTCTTGTAACACCTAATCTTCGGTACTTAATATTGTATGACCTTATTGTATTGCAAGTGCCGTAAAACTCTTACAAAAAACTAAAAATACTTATTTGGCTCGGTGTTTTCAGGAATGGACGTTGAACTCGGAGGTCTGGCCTCTTAAATAACCTAATGGTGTTGTTAATAGGGGGTTTAAACCTGTACCATTTCGCCGTTCCACCCCTTCTTTAAACTAGAACTAACAGGCTGCAGGTGCAGTACAACTAACGGCTATCCGTAGACCTCACCTCGCGATAACAGCTGAATGAAAGCTGCTGGCTGTTTCTGTTTCTGCCCTCCCTCTCTGGAACAGCACCACTGGAACCGTTAGTTAAACCGGGGCACAACACAACACAGCACAGCGCCTTCCTTCTCTCTCTCTCTATCGCGTTCAGAGAGACCCAGCCAAGCAATCCTCCAGCCCCCCCCGTCTCTGATCCTGCCTGCTGATGGTCTCCTCGTGAGTCGTCGTGAGACTGTGGTGTGCTGCGCGTGAGCTGCTGGCTGCCTGCCTGCCTCCGCCGTGTGTTGTTTATTATGTTGTGTGTGTGTGTATGTCTGTGTGTGTGTGTGTGT